CTGCAAAAGCACGGAGACTCTGGTTGGTTGGAGTTCCGCCTCCGACGGTCAAGTTAGAATACGTCCGAGTTAGTAAACGTGCGGAAAAGTAAACGGTCTCTCGGATTCCGGGAGATTCTGCAATTAATATTGCTCGGTATTTGTATATGTATTTATGAAGGTGCATGAATGTGCAATAAATGAGGACTTTCCTCTATTTATAGTGGAAGGACATCAGTTCTCCTTTCATGGGCCAGGGTGCCACATGTCATAAGGGAATTGGTCCTATTAGGACCCCTCTGACGTTGACACGTGTCAGCACCTGATTGGACCACGTGGAGGGGGTATTTTTACCCTAAACAACTCAGTTTTTAAGGATTATGTTGGCGCGGAAGAAGGCCATGAAATTCTGTTGGGAGATCACTGCACAAACAAAGTTCTTGGAACAGGAAGTGTGGAACTCCAATTCACATCTGGAAAGAAAGTTGTATTGACAAATGTATTACATGTTCTGGATATTAGGAAGAATTTGGAATCTGGTTTGTTTTATGTAAGAAAAGACTCAAAGCTATTATAGAGTCCGATAAAATTATATTGTTTAAGGCAGGAACATTTGTAGGCAAAGGTTATGTATCTGATGGTATGTTTAAACTAAGTATCAATAAAGCTGAAAGTTCTAATTAATCTTGTGTGCAATCTTTTGATTTCAGTTTTATTGTTGTTGAATGTTCAAGTTTTAACCTTTGGCATAATCGTTTAGGACATGTTAATTATCAAACTATGAAATTTATGAATAAAAATGGATTAATTTCATATAATGATGAGCACAAAGATAAATGTGAAATTTGTGTCCAAGCGAAAATGAAGATAAAACCTTTTCCAAAGGTGGACAAAAATTCTGAAATTTTAGAACTTGTACGTTCTGACATTTGTGAGTTAAATGGTGTTTTAACTCGAGGTGGAGATAGGTATTTTATAACTTTTATTGATGATTGTTCTAAATTTACCTTTGTGTATTTATAGAAATCAAAAGATCAAGCTTATGAAAAGTTCTTGATTTACAAAGTCATGGTTGAAACACAAAAGGGCAAGAAATTGAAAATCTTGTGAAGTGATAGAGGTAGGGAGTATTTTCCTACTGAATTTACTTCATTTTATGAAGATGATGGAATTGTACATCAAGTTAGTGCACCTTATAGACCTCAACAAAATGGGGTGGCTGAGAGGAAAAATGGAGTTCTAGGTAGGGGTGAGCAAAGATCCAGGGTACCCGGTACCGGACCCAGAACCGGTTAGAACCCGCCGGGTCCGGACCCGGAACTGGTCTCACCGGTTCCGGGATCGGGTCCAAAATATCGGACCCGGTTGTAACCGGTTCCGGGACTGGGTCCTGAAATTTCGGACCCGGTACCCACTGGGTACCCGGTTTCAATTATAAATTAATTTTTTTTTAACTTCAATACCCAAAATTAGGCCCATATCTTATTCCTAACCCTAGCCCATGTATATCATTGATTCTCACTCACCTCACCGCCATTCCCCCCTACTCTTTCCTCTCTACTCTCTCTGCCATTCCCCCCTCTCTTTCCTCTCTACTCTCTATGCCATTCCCCCCTCTCTTTCCTCTCTACTCTCTCTCTCCTCTTCTCCATCACACTGTTTTTCTTTTGATATTACTTGCTGCTTGCTAATTTTGGTTTAATTTGTGTATAATTGTGAGTGAAAGTGTAATTGCTTGTCAAATATCTGATCACATTGTTTGATTTTTGGTAATTGTTCGTTTGAATTAGGTTTTGTGGTGTGAAATCTGAAATTGCATGTCAAATTTTTTTTGATTACTTTTTTTTTTAATTTTCGTAATTGTTTGTCCTAATTTTGATTGGGTCTTCGATTTGATAGATCGAATATTGATTAGTTGTTGATCTCCATGTGGTTTGATGATGGTGTATTATTCTATTGTAATTGAGGTCTTGTAAATAATGTCACAAGGCCACCGTAAAAAGTCGTTGAGTCACCGCAAGGTCACCGTCGAGCTGTTATAATTATCAAATTGAAGATCTAATTTTACTTTTGGTTAAACTTTATATTTATTTTTATTTTATTAGATTTTCAGAATATTTTTTTAAGTTTAGTTGTAATTTTAGATTTTAGATTGTAATTTTAGTTGTAATTTTCAGAATTTCATCCATTTTTTTTATTTTAATTTGTTTTTTTTAATAGATGATGTAAATAAAATACATTTAAAATTAAAAGAACCGGGTACCCGGATTAGGAACCGGTTCCGACCAGTTCCGGGACCAGTTTCGCCACCACGGGACCCGGTTACAACCAGTTCCAGTTCTGGTTCCAAAATCTTGGACCCGGTTATAACCTGGTCCGGGTACATTAAAACTGACCGGGTACCCGGTTTTGCTCACCCCTAGTTCTAGGTGATATGGTCAATGCCATGATTGTTAACTCCAATTTACCTATGAATCTATGGGGTGAAGCTTTGCTAACAGCTTGTCATGTACATAATAGAATTCCTTCAAAGATAATGAAAATGTCTCCATACGAAATATGGAGAGGAAGAAAGCCTAACATTAGTTATTTTAGAGTTTGGGGATGTTTGGCTTATTAAAAAGTCTCGGGCCCTAAGAAAACTAAATTAGGTCCAAGAGCTTTGAAAAGTGTATTTGTGGGATATGCTGAAAATTCAAAAGCATATAGACTTTTGGATTTAAACTAAAATGTTATAGTGGAATCAAGAGATGTTGAATTTTTTGAAAATAAATTTAAACGTGATTCCAAAAGTGTTGACGAGTCGTTGCAATCGCCACAACCAAATCCTACTCCTTCTAGTGGGAATACTAGGATAAATCCTAGTGATGCAAATGAACCAAGAAAAAGTGTTAGAGCTAGAAAGGAGAAGAATTTGGGACCGGATTTCATTAACTCACAAGCAATTTCCTTTCTAGTGGAAGGAAATAGAGATGTTGTTATCAATAAAATTCCTTTGATTCTTAATGTGGAATTGAGAATGATGAACCAAAAACATTTCAAGAAGCAATGACTTTTAGAAATGCAGCATTTTGGAAGGAGACAATTAATGATGAGATGGAGTCTCTAATGGCTAATTAAACTTGGGTCTTATCAAATTTGCCTCCTAGTTCCAAACCTATTGGTTGCAAATGGATTTTTAAAGTATTCTTTGCATTGTGGTAGTGAGGCAACATTGTCTAGAGCCTATAATAAGATTTATAATGGGAAGTCTAGACATATCAGTTTGAGACATGCATATGTGAGATATTTAATATCCGACGGGATTATAACTGTAGTTTATGTAAGGCCTTGTAACAATTTGGCTAATCCTTTCACTAAAGGTCTTCCAGAGATATGGTTCATGGTACAAGCCGAGAGATGGGCTTGAGACCCATATGATCAAATCAGCAACAATGGAAACCCAACCTTATTTTTATGAATACCCGTATTTAAAAGGTTCAGTGTGGTAATAACAAACTGTTGATAACTGATTGGTTTGCACTAAGATATTTGTTATTTAGTGCATGTTTTTAGGGTGAGTGTTATACTCTTAATGAATTCTATAATAAGGGATTTCACCTATAGATATAATAAGTGGTGCCGCTTTTACCAAAAGTATGTAATTAATCTTTTGGAAATATCTATGAATCCAGGATGAGCACATGGCCGTAATCGTGCTACCTTTTGTTTTTGGACATGTTATGCAAAACGATTGTGTATGAGGTGACTCCGATTTTAACACTAGAAATTGTGGCTCAAAAGCTTTTTAGCTGCCATTAATTTTGTTAGGATCTTGAGTTACTGTCACTAAGTGAAAGTTCAAATCGAAAGATACTTTCATTATACACTTTTGTTGAATTGAAGACTAAGTGGGGGATTGTCACCTATAGTCTTCAATATGTGAGTTTTAAATTGGAAAGTTTCTCTCACATGGAAAGATTAAGATATATTGGATGTCTTTATTAACTTGAGTGTGCTATGTATAACTGATTTGTTTTGGGCCTATTTGATTGGGTTTTGGTTATGGCTTTGTTAGTGGATGATTAGTAGTATATTTGTAAACATATTTACTAATCATAGACTAGCACTTAGCACTTAGGCACGTGGCACGCACGCCGGTTAATTAAGCAAGTTTAACATTGCCGGTTATGTTAATTTAATCTCCATTTTAAAATTAATTATATTGATAATTTCTGATAAGATTATATGACAGTTTTTTGGGATAATTAACTGTCATATTAATCTCTATAAATATATCTTTTTGGCAGTGTTAAGAATTCCGTATTTATCTTTTTCTTTTTCATTCTACGTTTCCACAAAATTTCATGTCCATGGAGAATGCAAAATTATGTTGTATTTTTATTCTAAGTAATAGGAGAATCGTGGGGGTAAATTAGTATAATTGTTCCCAACAATGTATGAGAGGGCTAATATTATCCTAAGGACAGAGTAAACTCGTCTTTTTTTTTTTTTTTTTTTTTTTTTTTTTTTTTTTAAGTTAGATTTCTTTTCCAGAAATTGTATTTTTATTGACAAGTTCAGTGAGTGAAGTGCAACATTTAGCTAAGTTTAGAGAGTAAGTGTGTAGTTAACTCTGATAAACATTAATATACAGTAAAAGTATAGATTTTTATTTTTATTTTTTTATTCATATAAATGGCCAAACGGGGGTGCTCCCCTCTATTTCCACTCTCCCACTTCAGATTTTACTACTTCCTCCGTTCTTTTTTTATCGCATCACTTACTACTTTAGGAAGTTTACTTATTATTGCATCATTTCCTTTTTAGGATAAAAAATATCTATGTTCACACTGCAAATACCCAACATACCCTTACTTTTTCACATTTACTTTTTATTTTATCTTACATTACATGGACAATTTTGTATTTTTACGTTTTTCTCTCTTACTTTTTCCCACTACCAAATTTTGAATCCAAAACCCGTATGATGTAATAAAAAAAAAACGGAGGAAGTATAATAAATCACTCAATTTTCTCTCTCCTCTATGACTCCCTAGATTTTTTACTCTCAGTCTGGATTTTCATATTTCAACCTTCATTCAAATGGCAAATTCAAAATGTCGTTGAATTCTCAAACCAAGAAATCCACCCTTCTGTAAACTCCATTAAACTCACTCAATGGGTTTCCCGCGTCAAGCGAAGTCGCCGCTGTCGACAATTAGCCGGCGCGCAACACTCCCAGTCGGGTTGTGCGCGAAGCTGACTGCAGTAGTGATTCTTGGCCTGCTATTCATACTTATTTGGTCATTTTTCTCACCAACCCCAGATGCTCTTACAGCTCAAAGAGAGAGTTTCAGTGAGATTGCTGAACCAGCAGCAAGATCATCACCTTCGAAATCAAGTACATCCAAGGCTAGTCATTCCAAACCCGAATCAAAATCGAATAAAAATGGACATTTGCAGCAGTCGGGTAGTAATTCGAGGAAGAAAAAACATGGGATTGTTAGTAATGTGACTGTTAGTGGGCAGAATTTGAAGGAATTTAATAGGACTAATAATGGGGATGAATTGGATTTAGAAGGGAATGAAGGATCTGAGAGATCTGAGGTTGTTGATGGAAATGATCAAACTGTGGTTGATGGTAAGGAAGAAGGGTTTCGAGGCGAAAGCGAAGGCGAGGATGAAGGGGAGAAGAATGGGGATGAAGATCCTGATTTGGAAGGCGGGGTTGATATTAAAATGTCAGAAACTGAGGAAGAGGATGAAGATGGTGATACTCGGTCGAAGAGTAAAGGGAAGATGAGGAAGAATTTGGGTCCATTGTTTGATTCTAAAGCACATTATAGTTGGAAATTATGTAATGTAAGGAGTAAACACAATTACATTCCTTGCATTGATATTGAGAGTCCTAAAGGAAAGATTCAGAGATACCGACATCTCGAAAGGAGTTGTCCTTCAGTACCTCCTATGTGTCTTGTTCCTCTTCCTCCTGATGGGTATGGAAGTAATGGGACTACTTTGCATTGGCCTGAAAGTAGAACAAAGGTAGCGAAATCGAACAAGCTCATCATTATCTTATTTCAAATGTGTTGGTGATTGCCTTTCTTATAGTACATTGTTATTGGAATTGTTTTCAGATATTGTACAAGAATGTTGAACATCCTAAACTTGTTGCTTATCTGAAGACTATCACTTGGGCCTTGGTTTCTGGAGAATATCTTGTGTTTCCTCATAATCAGTCGAATGTTATTGGAGGCGTTGGTCACTACCTTGAATCAATTGAAGAGGTACTGATTAATTCCTCGTATTGTCTGTGTTACTTGGTTACCTTTTATGTAAATTATCGCCATTGCTAATTTGCTAATTAACTCTAGTTGAAGCTCATTTTCAAGTCTAAACTCCCATTATCTGATAACTTAATGATCTGATAAAATCTCAGTAAGAAGTGTAATAATTGGAGGGATGCTTTATGGCTTATAGCCTTATGCTTAGGCCTTATTCTTTTTTACACAGATAATTTACTGGACTTAAATTTTGTATTTACTGGAATTAAATTGTTATCACTGTAATTGAAATATTTTCAATTTTTACTTAATTAAATTATTATGATTGAACTTAAATTATATTACTACTAAAACATGTTTACCGAATCTCTATTATATTTGTTCTTTGAGTTACTTATTTAATTTTATTATTTGGTTAAGGTGAAGAGAACATAGCCTTATTATATGTGGATTGTGGAGACATTAAGATTCATGTGGCTAAATGAACATTTTTTTTTACTTCTTACTGGCTTTTGTAAACTTTATGTTTCTGTTAGATGGTACCAGACATTGAATGGGGAAAGAATGTCCGGGTGGTGCTAGACATTGGAGTCACCGACTCAAGCTTTACAGCATCTCTCTTTGATAAGGGTGTGCTTACTTTATCACTAGGATTGAAGGATGATCTGGTGGACTTGGCACAAGTTGCGCTTGAGCGTGGATTTCCTGCAATTGTTAGCCCATTTGCAAATAGAAGACTTCCATTTCCCAGTGGTGCTTTTGATGCCATTCACTGTAGTGGATGCAAAATACATTGGCATGCTCATGGTACCTTGGATTTTTTTTCACTTGCACCTTTTTATTGCTTTACGTTGATGTTTTTATTTTATGCTACTTGTTTAAAATTTTCAGGGGGCAAGAGGCTTCTTGAAATGAATAGAATTTTGCGACCAGGTGGATACTTTGTTTTGTCACACAAACATAATAGCATTGAAGAAGAAGAAGGTTTGACCTGGTCTATTTTGATATCTTCTTATTTGTTAATGATTGATGAAAAAACCTTTTTCGTTGTTGTTGTGAACAAGTTAAAGAAAATAGCTTTATTGTGACAAGCCTAAACTGGAAATATTGCTAGCTTTTCTTATAGTTCCAATTCTGTGGCAAATAATTTTGCTGCTTGGAGAATTGAGATACTGATTTGCTGTATATCTGGTCAGGTTAGTCACAGTCACAAGTAATCAGAAATTAGATGAACATTTGTAGTGATGAAGAAGAAATATAAGGGAGGAAAACAGAGGATATGACCAATGTATTAAAAAGCTCAAAGCGCACCATGGCATTATGGAATTCCCTGCACCTAAGGCGTACCTCAGTGCGCTTTGGTGCACCTTGTTGATATGAGGTACACATAAAAAATAAAAATAAAAAGATTTGTGAAAAAACTGTTGTGGTGCGCAGTGCGCCTCATCAAAAGCACTTTGTCTAGATGACAAAAAGCGCTGGTTTTAATGGTAATCAAGGTGATTAGACACCAACACAGCCTAGCCAACTTTTGAGAGGCTAGTTCTCTCCTATAACAAATTCTACTGTTCACTTTTCTCAATTCTTCTTACATTCAGTGCCTCTCTTATTATTACATCAGCTTTATTGTCTTGCTCCTTAATTTACTACAATAGCAAACGCACTAAGCATTACTGCAATGACCCCTGCGGCCTGCTAACCGATTTTGCCATGCTCAAGTGCCAAAAACCTTTCTACCTTTCACACCCTTATAGAATAAGTCACTAGCACAGGTGGCTCTTGTTGATTCTGTGCATGATTATCTTTTGATTGTTATCAATCTAAAGTGAAAAGATTACACAAAAGTGGTAGGCTGGATGCCCTTATCACTTTGCTTATTTTTCGGGGACCAATATTTGTTTTCTAAACGTTGGGCTTTTAACATTTGATTGTTTGTCTATCCATATCTCCAACCATTGCCAAGAGTGTGGAATGTAAGTTTTTAGTAACTTGACTTTATAAGACCCTATGTAGGATCCATTTGAGCTTAGCTGGTCCTAGAGGTGATTTCGTTGAAGTGTTTTTAGTCCAAACTCTTTCTCATTGCTGATGAGGTTTTCCTTTAAAGTCAATATGATGGTCTAATCTGTTGGTTTGCATTATTGTTTTATCCAGCTTAGTGTCAGTCATGATTGCTATTTTATCACAAGTAAACAATGCAAAGAGTATTGAAGATATTATCCTTTAATTTTTTTTGCCAGCTATGACTTCATTGATCGCAGCCATTTGTTGGAATGTTCTGGCTGATAAAACGGATGAAGTTGCTGAAGTTGGTGTCAAAATATATCAGAAGCCGGAATCAAATTCCATTTATGAACTACGTAGGAAAAGGAACCCTCCTATATGCAAGGATAACGAGAATGCGGATTCAGCCTGGTACGCCTACCGTTGTTTGCTAACTTATTTGGGCTAATTGTTCATCTATTTACTGTACATTAACATAACAGTACCCAAATGCCTTTAAAGAGGCTACCATGTAGGCAGCTGATGTGGGTTGGGGGGGGGGTGATCTGAACTGCTTTATTCTTCCAATAACAGAGAGATTGCTATTGATCATATTCTGATGCCAAAGAACAAAGAATGTTTAGGCACTATCAAAATGGTATAGAGTACTCGCTACCATGATACATTGCCTTGATATGTGATTATATGATAATTTAATTGAATTGTCTAGTATTCTCTTCCCATCTTATTGTCCTCAATTTTACTTTTCAAGCTTGAACAATATCTTAACCTTAAAGCATTTTCTACGGGATTGAAATAGATCCTTGGGCCTGTAGTCGAGCAAGCATCTACTCTTATCACACAGACACCTACATAAGTAGATATTAGTGTGCATGAGACAATCACTTGTTTCACTGCGAAAATGCTTTTACTCAAACTTTTGTTGCTTAGAGTGCTTAAATGGATATTTTTGAAATAGCTTCTCTCCCACCATTGCCAAGAGTGTGGAATGTAAGTTTTTAGTAACTTGACTTTATTAGAACCTAGGTAGGATCCATTTGGGCCTAGCTGGTCCTAGAGGTGATGTTGTTGAAGTGTTTTTAGTCCAAACTCTTTGTCAACGTTGACAAGGTAGGAGTGGCGGCGTTGAAAATAGAAAGGCTATGTGCACTTGGCCATCGATTTGTCATTATATGTTTTTTACATTTCTGGTATTCCTTTTTCCTGTTTTTGTTTCATTGACCTACTAAAATACTCTAGGTAGAGCTACAAGTGCAAGTTGAACTCAAATCTATCCGGGCATGATGGATAAAACTATAAAAGTGTATTGTAAAACGGGTGTCAAATGTCAGCCTTCTCATCTATTTATTTTTCATCAATATAAATGGGAGCTTTAGTATGTGTTTTTAACTAGTAAACTAAGGGCTTAGAAGTTTTATAGCTATAGGTTTGAAGTAGCTTCATTTTATAGATATTTTCTTTATTAGATATTTTGCATCCTTAGAAGAGCTCTTATCTCTTAAGATATCTACAACGATATCTATGTTAAGGGGAAAGTTTGTCGACTTTAAATATTGTGAGGGTTTGAGTGTTGGGTTTTGATGTAAATATATTTTGTAGTAACATCAAAATAAAGATCTATACACATATTATGTTGAAATTCACTTTAATTTAGAATACTATAATTAGAATTTAGTTAGCAAAACAGAAATTATAAATAAATTCTTTTTCATTGTAATACAAGGAAGAAGAAAAAAGAATAAGAAAAAGTAAGTGTATAAGGATATTAGAAAAACTTAAGTTAGAAAAGTTAAATGCAATAAAAGACAATTCTTTGTTATTCAGGGATGTAACCCATATCTGTTTCTCCTTGATTTAGTCCTTATAACTACTTGAGTTAACAATTGAAAGTTGTAACTCCTTCATTTGGTACCAGAGCCACATTATTTCAATATATCAAAATATCTACCAACTTTGTCCTGCCATAAGTACCCCAGTTATCTAAAGACCAATATAATGATTGGTGCAATAAAATGAAAGTACTATTTGGATCCGAGATTTGTGGGAAGTTGTTAGTGATGATTTTGAAAAACCATCTGGTGAGACAAAAGCCTCATATATGCAAGAAAAGAAATTTGAGTTAAAAGAAATTACAAAGATCAAAGGGCATTATTTTTTATATACGTATGATTGACCTTAACACATATGTAAAAATTTAAAATGCAATCACAAGCAAAGAAACTTGAGATACTCTTTGCAACAAATTTTAAAGGAGTTGAGGGAGTTCGAAATTTTTTTGTACAAGCTTTACGAGGTGAATTCTAGGAAATGTAAGTGACAGATATTGAGTTGATTTCTGATTATTTTTCTCATCTTTTACAAATGTTAACCAACGTAAACAAAATGCTAAAAGATCAAAGAGTCTAGATAATTGAGAAGGTACTTTGATCATGCTATAAGAAATTTATTAATTTAATCATCTAATGGCCTAAGTAATCTGATTTGTAAATTGTATGAATAAAAAGGATTAATAAGAAGGAAGCTTGATGTTTTGATTAAGTTTGCTAATGGTTTCTGACAAATCTGGTAGCTTTAGCCTACCAATCTCCAAGACCTTTAGGCTACAAATCTCTAATGGGAGTAACTTGAGGTTACAAATCTCAAATAAAAAATCCTCTTCATTTTACTGCATAACCTATCTCCTATTTATACTCAAGTATTCTACAAAAGATAGCAAGAGTCAAAAGTTAACCTAGCCTTAATTAACTTTGTCACTACTCTACAAAATATCAAATCAGCAGTCTTTTGTTACTCCTCCCCTTAGTGTTTCATTGATGGCTTTGTCCGCTAGCGCCTTTCTGTCCTCTGCTTCCCTTGAGTGCTGCTGCTTGTCCCCTCTCACTTGGACATGTGCCTCTTGCTTCTCTTCCTCCGGTGCAGATCCATATTGGTGTTTTGGGTGCAAGAACCGGGTCCATTACAGAGTACTTGTTCAGTGATTCACTCAACATATTATTACTCGTTCTAATACATGAAAAATACTTCTTGGATTGGAGTTTCAACAGAAGAATATTATGAATGGTGCATCACAGTCAACCAATTTTGTTTATACAACTTCTTTTGAGTCTCTGCCCCACAAACAAGGGAATATTGTTTTCGGCTTCTCTTAGTCTCTGCATTTTTGTTCCCTGTGTTGAAATTTGAAAAGCAAGTTATTCCAGTATCTCTTAATCCATATCTCCTTTTTGTCTTCTCTCTTTGAAAGGCGAGTTCATGTCCATGTGTTTTTAGCTGTTCTCAATAATCTGTATGAAGTACTTAATTACGTGATTGGGTTTGCAGAGTTGTTTGTAGCTGATTAATGTGACATCTTACTAGGCAGACTTTTACCTTTACTGGAGTAAGTTATATAAACATTGAACAATTTTCCTTCTGACCCCCCCCCCAACCCCTCAAAATTCTCTGCCTCGAATTTTGTGACCTAAAATATTATGAGTCTTATATACCAAGATGGACAACTCTGTCAGTAGGATTGAGTAACCAGCTTTCTAAATGCAGAAGCATTTTATCAGTAGGTTCTTAACCCATAAAGCGGATAAGGTATAGTCTTTATCATGCATTTAGATATAGTTTTACCTCTGTCATAGTATCATAAACTATATATTAATACTCCATGAGGCTTCTTTATGTTTATGAGTTGGATACAGTAATATAGAATCCAAGCCAATAAGATATCTTAATCGAATAAATAGGAATATAACTATGGTGAACTCTTAAACTTGCGCTAACTTCATAGTACGGTATTTAGCAAGTTAGGAGGGACTTTATCTCTAATATGTTGATTAGAAGTTCATATCACTTCTATTAAATGGCATTTAGGAGATTCAGCTGCTTTTAAAAGCTAGGTTTGAACTGTTATACCCTCTCACAAAGTACAATGTTGTGGCCAAGCAATTCTTGTCCAAGAATTGCCACACTACTTCCTCCCTTCTGTATGAGATAAACCATGACGCCTGCCTTTTCTTCTTCCTCCCCTTGAGTTATTGTTATTCTGGTTTTTATCTTATTAATTGTAGTCGTAATTGAATCAGGTATATTCCAGTCGGACATTGCTTGCACCCTATCCCCACTGCAATTGAGCAGCATGGAACTGAGTGGCCTGCAGAATGGCCCAAAAGGCTTGAAAGTTATCCCGACTGGCTGAGTGACAAGGAGAAAGTGAAGGCTGACACAAAGCATTGGAAAGCTGCAGTCGACAAGTCATACCTCACTGGAATGGGTATTAATTGGACAAATATCCGAAATGTGATGGATATGAAAGCCATCTATGGGGGGTATGCTTTTAATTGCTAATCTATGTCATCTTTTTCTGTGACTTGCTATATAATATTTTATGATTTTTTTTTTTTTTTTTTTTTTTTTTTTTTTTTTTTTTTTGTTCATTTAATGTACTCAAATGCCAATTTATGGTTTTTTGAATGCTATACCATAGGTTTGCAGCTGCTCTTTCAGAACAAGAGGTCTGGGTCATGAATGTAGTACCTGTTCATGCTCCAAATACACTTCCATACATATATGAACGTGGTCTCTTTGGAGTTTATCATGACTGGTGCGAATCTTTTGGTTCTTACCCAAGGTCATATGATCTATTGCATGCAGATCATTTGTTCTCACGGCTTAAGAATAGGTAATTCTGTTCATTCTGTCTCTCCTCTGTTTTTAACTCTCAACATTATGCACAGGTATTGCAGCAACGCATATACTTCAGTAGCCTACTAATACCCTCTTATATCAAAGCAATCCTTTTTTTCATGTGAATTGACCAAAAAATTTGTTGCCTTGCTGTCTAACTATGTGTAATCTGTTTCAGATGTAACCAACCAGTGGCAATAGTAGTTGAGATGGATCGCTTATTACGGCCCGGAGGTTGGGTAATAGTGCGCGATAAGGTGGTGGTATTAGAACCCCTGGAAGAAATTTTTAGAAGCTTGAACTGGGATATCCACATGACATTTTTTCAGGATAAAGAGGGTATACTTGTTGCTCAGAAAACATGGAGGCCTTGAGATCAAGAGATAATTCCACACTTGTCTTTTTACCTCCTTTGTTGTTTCCATCAGAAGCATATGAATACCAGTCCACGAATTTTCTGACATCCAGAATATCAGGTTGATTCATATTTTCTGGCGAACCCTGCAGAATCCGAACATACTGTGATCTCTTAAACTAACTCTTCTTTCTTCTGTATATTATACCCACACGTTACCTACATGCAATGAGGATAATGCACATGTTGAGTGAAGTAAATTGCTTTAAGGTGGCAAGAGATACATTCAATTTCACTAGTTTTACACTTTTACTGCCTTCGATATGCCCTTCATCCTGAACGAATTGTAAAGGCAGGTTTTCTCCAGTTCTTGCAGAGGGAGAAATATTCCTTTGTCATCAAATTTGACAGAAGCATCAGACTTAACATCATGTTGTAGCAGTAGCTAAGCTTGATGAATTGTAGGTGTTATATTATTCTCAGAACTCAAGGGCCTTCATGTGAGTAGAAGATGAGCAGCATAAGATTGGGTGAGTTGAGTCTAAGGCGATTTCGGAAATTTGTGTATGTACTCTTCAAAATGTTACCAATTACGCAATCATACATTGTTGTTCAAGGTTGTAGAATGCCGTGATTTGTGGCAGCGTGTATCAAATTACAGATGGAAAATCTCTTGTTTGTTCAGAGCCCAGTGTATTAAAAGATATACAGCAGTACAGAACCTATCATTGTGAATTTGTGATGCTGCTTGAATTGTATTCAATGGATGATACAAAACTATTCCATTCAGACGTTATAGGGTAATGGTTATCTTATATGCAACTATTTTCCAGTTGCTTCTTTTGCTGTAGTAAATGCTACTTGTATTATTTGTAACAATCGTGCTATCAAATACTATACCTATTATACTTTGTAATTGAAACTGATAAATTATGAAATATTCGGCAATATCTTCCAATACAAAGTATAATACAAAGATATTGACGAATACTTAATAATTGTATTGGTTCTACTTAATAATACATCACCAAAATTGGCTAAGTGACTCTTCTTGTAAATACTCGTATGATGAAACCAATAAAATAAAAAATAAAAGCATACTATCGAACATATGTAGTAAAAGATCATGCTGATACTGGAACCATGAAAAGCATCAATTGGAAGCCTACAACAACAATCACTAAATAAAAAGGGAAGCAAACGCAGCAGCTACCAACTGTTGAGACATGCAAAGGAAAGAAAATCCACATAAAATAAAAAAAAAAAAAAAAAAAAAAAAAAAAAGTAAGCCAACTTGGGAAGCATGGTTAATCAAGAAAATCCACAAAAACACCCTATCATGAAAAAAGCACTGATGGTTTTCTCCATTCTAATTGTGGAATAAATTTACATTCATGTCCAAATCTAAAAGCACACCATTGCAAAGCAAATTATTCAAACGTAGTCTGATAAGATCTCGAAGTTAAACTTTACATTTCCAAAATAAACCAGACGAAAGGAAAAATAAACTACCATCAGCAAACTACTATGTTCAATACTAAATTAGAAGTTGCATGGTGCGTGCCTCTGGTCAAAGAACCACATACCTGAAACTGAGGGGGGGAAAAAAAGACACTGTCACTTCCTGGAGATTTTGCAATGGTCTATGATGTAAGACTAATGCTTTAATTTCTCCATATAAAGATAATAATTGAGGATTCCACTTTGCTTTGCTACATGAGAAACATTTAACTACAAGCAAATACCCACACACATCATACCCTTTTAAAAAAGAAATGGCAAATGTCACAAAAGTGTAACAATTATTAAGCTATTGCTGAGCGGTGAGCCAATATCTTATACTCCGTATCGTACTCTGCAGTGAAGTAGTATATAATATTGTCTAATCACTTACATCTATAATCCTGTATCTGAGTCTTTTTGCATGTGTGATAGGGACAGTCTATGCTACCCCAGCTCATAAATCTCTCTCTTTATGATATAATATACCAGTAATAAACTTGTGAATTTGTCAAACCAAAAAAGAATCAGCCTCCAAGTATTACTCATACGTGATATTATAAGCTCGTGAAACATGGACATGTGTGGAGAAAGAAGATGAGAGGAGTTGTATGTATGTGTTTGAGGATGCACTACACAAAATTACAGAAGAATCGAAAAGCAAACTGCATGGTTTAATTTCTCCTTTCCCTACAAGATTATCTCCCAGGGTTAATAGCATGAAAAGTAAAAGGTCCCCTCATCAACAGAAGATATTACAAAAGGCATATATTCAAGCAACTTACGTGCTTTTCAGAAGGCAATTAGCATATGTAAAAACTTGTAATCATAAATTATAAAGACATACCTGAACAGCCTTCCCAACCACCAACACATTGCAAATCACCATTCACAAAGCAGATGATTTCATCACAGGGGAGCTCTGAGATACAGCATGAGTACAGCTTATGTCATCTGTATTTGCTGGAGGCTGTTCTATATGAATGATCTTTCCAAACAGCTGAAATGAAGTGACACCTTTTCCAGGTAAGTTGCATGAATGATGACCAGTACTCATTGCACCAAAGAACTGCTCACTGTTGAAACTGTCAAATGAGGGTGTCTCAGAGGATGAACTGGCAATATTCAGGTCAGCGGATACACCTTCCACTTTCTGTGACATACTACTGTCCAAATTATCATCAGTGCGCCCCTGGTGAGAATCGTCATTCATGATTGTAGGTGAATTAGATGGATAAATACTAGGAAATTGCCTGGCTCCCTGCATGCCTGCGGGAAAAATGTTGTAATTCATATAGGATGGACTTAACTGGTCCATCACCAGTGAACCAAATCCGAGTTGAGGAGTAAAGTAGATATCTCCCTTCCCATCAGCTAGTAGAGCAGAGTTCTGCACACCCTTGAGCCTTTTGGCAGGGGTATTAAATGCAGCATGAATAGTAGGTGGTGGTGTTGGAGCAATACACTCCACTTGCCATGGACTAAGCATCCTTACTTCTTCCAACTTCTCTGGCTCATCCCAAGTAACCTGGAAAGAATATTACAGCACTACAGAGTATTTTTTATTTTTTCACATCCCAAATCCCAACAAAATTAACTTGATAATTTGATTGAAGGCCATAAACATTGCTTCTACTGGTAAGCTACAATTAACTTTCTTTAATTTAATGCTCGTACCACAGAAACATGGATAAAGGCATGATCACAAGGCATGCAAGGATCGCCCCCAAGCAGAAACATCAATATCCTGCATGAGCTCGTTGCACATAAAACAAGCAACTTTAACAACAATATTAAGAGTGTCATAATAGTTCATACAATGATGTCTTGGTTGAATGCACTGATGCCTAGTGAATGCAAGACTTCTCTAAAAGTCAGAAAAAAAAAAATAAAAAATAAAAAATATTAAAAAATATTTGAGAGCATCCATTTGGCATTATCACCACAAATTAACTGTTAGATCAAAAGCTATTTATACACTTGCTCCATAACACTAAATAATTTATAGGAATGTGAAGTCATTTTTTTAATAACCTTTGAGACCTCCCCCCCCCCCTCCCTCACACACACACACACACCAAACCACCTTTCTCATTATCGTTACAAATTGGATTAGGAAGTATAGAAAATTTATCAACAGCACTGCTACTGTGTATACTTTACTTCCACACAAATGATGTATCAAGAACAAGCCTGACAAAATTATTAGGTTGACACATGGTAATCATCACGACAATATCTGTCTGCTCAGATAGTTAGATAATGAATGCCTTACACCCTTACCACAATTTCATCATTTAAAGCCGAATGTCATACTTTTAGAAAACAGCAACAGGGAACATGAGAAACTTTCTACAAGAATGGCATCTGGTCATTTTACAATTTATTCAGGGACAATAGAAAACATCAATGGGAACATGTGAAACGTTCCATACTGTTCCTAGCGCTACTATTGCATCTGATTCGTGATCTCTTAACTCTACATCTGATCCCTCAAGTGATTAATAAGAAACTATATGAAGCAGATTACCCAAAATAGTCACAGCAAACACGCAAGCATGGAAGTCAAGAATCAAGATAGAATCATGAAGTATCTGTCTAATGGTCAAACATGGTTTTAATTGAGACAGACCCATTACAAAAGATGTTCCCGTCAGCATTGGTTTTACTTATTCCAGCAGTATAAATCCATAGCAATAACATTGAGAATATGCGGTATCATACCACTCCTCGAGTAAGGATAGCCAAAGTCACTGTCCCTTAGACCTCATAAAAGACAGTCTACGTCATTTGACAGGTATTCTTGCTAGTTCTACTCCACAATCGAGCTCCATTTAAAGATAAGAATATGAGATCAATTTGGTGTGATATTAACTTACAACACCTTTCAAAAGTACAACCCATGTAAGACCTTAAGACACTTGAATGACATGTTCCTAAATTATACCTCTTTAAAACAGCCAATGAGCACACTCATCTCAACCCCTCCCCTCACAAACATCCATAGAATTCCTATTTCCAATCCTAGAATCAACTGCATTTCATGTGGACGTACTAATTATTTGATAGTAAAACATACCAACAACTAACATATACATTATTCCCAATACTTACAATCAACTGCATATCATGTGGACTAATTATTTGACTGCCAACATATAACATAAACATTTAATTATTTGATAGTATTACATAGCAACATATAAACATAAATAGATAGATGAATAAGGTAAGCAATGGCAATACCTGAAGCATCCGCCACATAGAACCAGGCCAAGGCCCGTCATTAGGACTAGGCACCACGGAAGTAACCGTCCCACTAAACCACGTCACCATCGGCCCTCCATCTCCGGCATTCTGGGGAAATTTAACCCGGGTTCCAGAAGTCCAGTTCACTCTGCAAGCCTGCTCCACCTTGTGAGCTTCCACCACAAACTCGGGCAAGTCTTGGGGGTTTGGGCACATATTCCTTAGGAAGTCTGGACAGCGGCGTAAAATGCCTTCGAACCCCAACAGACAGCTCCCCTGTAACCTTATTCCTGGCAAAAATAACAGAATCATTACAAGTTAGATACTTGCTATCCACAAACGTGTTCCAACCAGAGGTCAACAAGTGTCTCCTAGGCGTCCCCCCGTAAATATGTCTAAACACCCACTTAACTCCATGAACATCACTAATTCTGAGTGTCTGCACCGGCGGATCCTCTACGAAATTCAACGCCGGAAAAATGAATACAGCACAAAGCTTCGGAACGGAGAATCCACCACCATTGTTCGCATCCGAAATGCTTAAACACTTGACGAACGAATCAACCTCATTACCATTATCACCCCCTTCATCATCTCCATTACCATTACCATTATAATTACCCGTGACATGAATGTTAGTCAATGGCATAAGCCGATACTTGACGAAAACTTCATCAGTAACAGGATCAGCCCAATAAGTAACATCAACAACACGACAAACCACATAAGGTCTGGAAGTCACCATTGATGAGAAAGAAGCTGGGGTTGAAGCTTGTTCTAAGAACCCTTGAGGAAAGAAGTATACATCAGAATGCTTCTTTGCAACATCAACCGCCATTCCTGCAAAAGCTTTGAATCTATGGTAGTCTAATTCCGTCTCCTTCTCCTGCTTCTTCCGCGGCACTTTCTGCTTCGCCATTCAATTTCAGAGAAACCAACAATGCCACCCAATAACAAATCAATTGAAATTTCTTTGTTTCAGAATTTACTTCAACTTCTCACTCTGTTTATAATTTTTTTTTTTAGGGAAGACTGAATTTATAATCTCAGTCTCACACTAGTCTGTTAGGACTATTAGGAGTGTTTTATGGAACGGATGAATATGGACAGAAAAAATCTACCCCATGTCAGGATAATTACAGAGGTTAAAAAAAATTTAACCACGACAATTACAGCGCGTGTGATGTAGTACAATTGAGAAATGAGTTTTGATTAGAGCTTGTATATCATTTTCGATGTTGTCGGGTTAATACTTCATACACTGGGATTCGGAAAACGCAGCATTTGTTATAGTAATAAAGACCAGTTTTTATTTTTATTTTTTATTTTTTTATTTTTATTTTTTTTTTATTTTTATTTTTTATGTAGGCATATAAACATTAAAATACCTCTTATTATGGAATAAGTTAGATATTTATCATAAAATCATGCGTAGATTAGTGCAATTTATGTTAATCTATCTAGATAGCTCTTAGGACTATGTTTATTATTTTTTATTTTTTCTTAAGTAAATAAAGACCGAATATCTTTTATTTTTTACCAAAATTTTGTGCACTGATTTAAATTGAAAATTGAACGGTTACAATGTAGAAAATCAAGGAAATATAAAACTGATCAGAAAACATGATAAATTTGATTTTATATTGTGTAATGCATGGATGCACCATTATCTTGTTTTGACCGGCTACGCTCGGGTTTTATTAATTAAACTAATTTTAAACATTATTGGTGCTAATTAAATAATGTTGATAACAAATTATACCAAACGCTTAAAATCATATGATTATACTAGTATGTTATATTCCTTGCATATAAAATGCTTTAGGTTAGGATAATCAAAATGTTATTAATATTTAATACCTGTCGTACTTATCTTTTGTTTAAATCTTCAATGCTATATGCATTCAAAATTATCTTAAACTACTTTAGTGTCATGTCATTAATTGTTTTATTAATGTGTACATTTTTTTTTCGTATAAGTAAATGTTACTTCGTAGTGTATTGTATTGAAATATATAAATTTAAAATATTATTATGTACAAAGTATAGAAATAAAGTATTTTGCTCCAAAACACTCTTAAACACTTTTAAACTAATATTCATGGCTAATTCATACAGAACCCACTTTTTTTTCTGGAGTACTTTAATTTCATAATCTTGTGGTTGATAAAATAAGCATTAATTTCGTATAAAAATACCTTAAAAATCATATTATCTTTATAGGTACGCGTGAGTTCTAACATAATTAGAAATTCTCATGACATCGGCAAGGTTTTATTTTTATTTTTTTTAATGTTATATTAGGATTTTTCTAACAGTTAAAAAGATGAATCAAAATCATATCATATATCACTAATAAATAAAGTCGGTCTCGCAGCCAGGCCACGAGACATCGACACTAGGCATTTCAGTTTTTCGCCAAGTGTCACGCCACGTAAGTGATAAATAGGTATTATTGTGACACATATGATCCTAAGTAAGCAAATTTTGGATAGATTTTTTAAGATAAAATTGTTATATAGAGTTTTATTATCGATAAAATTATAATATTTCATACATACAAAATTAATCATATCTTTTAATAAATATTCTATAACTCGGTTATATTTCCATCCTAAAATTCGTTTTAAAAAGTTTTTAAAATAATATCCATTTATAATATATTAATTTATTTTTAAAAAATAATAGTGAATATTAGTAAAAATATTTTCTGTCCAGTAGAAGTAATTTAGTTGAATAAAAATAATTTGATGGGGCTGGTGCAGAGGGTTCCTCATTCATAACCCCAAAGAAGAACACGGTAATGGTGAACACTGTGTTTGATGTGGAAGAGGTAGTACCACCCCCTACTTTGGGCATGGCATTTGGAAGTTGGGATGAGTTGGATACCTATTTCTGGAGATATGGGAGGCAACAGGGTTTTGGTATAGTGAGGGCTGCTTCTGGGTGGGTGGATGTGAAGAAGGAATTGGAAAAGGGGAAGTGTTGTAAGCAGAGAAGGAATGCTAAATGGACTTGTGACTGTTATGGTTACGCTTTAAGGAAGCGTAAACAGGATGCACTTAAGGAAGGGCTATTGCAAGATGAGGAGACAGTTAAGAAACGGAAGAGTAAAAAGTGCGGGTGTCCTGTGGAGTTGTATGCCAGTGTTAATGAGGAAGGGACCTGGGTTGTTCGAAGGGTGAATTTGGAGCACAAAGGTCACATTGTTACTCCAGGAAAGTTAAAGGATGTAGCGATGTACCGGAAGCACGAGTTAATGGTGAAAAACAGTCACTTGGTCAAGCAGGTGCACACGGGGAAGAAGTCTAAGGTGAAGGTATCCTAAATGTACAGTTGTTATGCTCGGGAGCGTAATGGAGTGGAGGAGATGACATTTACGCAAAGAGACTTGGAGAATGCAGTGGCTCAAAAAACCGAACTTGAGCTTACTGAGGGTGATGCAAATGACATGATAGAGTACTTCAACAAAATGAGTGCCGACAGTCAAATTTTTTTCCATCTATGTCGGTTTGGGAAGGACGGGTCATTACAAGATGTTGTGTGGGTAGACTCGAGGAGTAGAGCTACGTATGAGGAGTTTGGAGATGTTGTGTGCTTTGACAATACGTAATTGACAAACAAATTTCACCTTCCCTTTGCTGTGTTTATCGGCGTGAATCATCATGGGCAGAGTATTTTGTTCGGGTACGTTTTGGTCTCTCGGGAGACGGCGGAGACCTATGAGTGGGTGTTGAGGACTTGGCTACATTGCATGGGGGGTAAAGCTCCTATCTCAATCCTAACGGATCAAGATCCGGCGATTAGGAAAGCTGTAAACTTGACTATGCCTGAGAGTTGCCATAGGTGGTGCATATGGCACATACTTCAGAAGTTTGGGAGGTATGTGGGTAAGCATGAGGACTATGAAGCTGTAAAGGATGAGTTAATAGCATTTATGGTAGCTTTGATGCTGATGAATTTGAAGCTCGTTGGGTGGACGCAGTTGAGTATTACAAACTAGGAGATAACAGTTGGCTTGAAGCTACTGCACTTCCATTTAAGCTTTTGTTTTTTTTTGTGATTTTGTCTGATTTATGTTAGAATATGCAGAGGTGTGTAGCTGTCTGTGTGCAGGGGACTGGAAGCTATTTCAGTTCTGATATAGAGGCGGAGCTGGTGTAGTGGTAGACGTAAAGTACCACTGAATGCTTTTTTTGCAAGTTTTTTGTTATCCGTGGCACATTTGTGATCTAGTGAATGTACCATTGATAGTAGTCCAGGTGTTTTAGGTTTGAATGTTTTTAGATAAGCCACTAATTGCAATTGTTTGAAATGCAGGGCTGTATGAGGAAAGGCACATGTGGATCCCAGCGTATTTGAAGCATTTATTCTGCGCCGGGATGAAAACGACCCAACGTTCGGAAAGTTTCAATCACTTCTTCAAAGGTTATGTTGACAAGCATACAACGTTGTCTGAATTTGTGCTTCGATACTGCGATGCAATGCAGATAAGGGTCGAGTCAGAGAGAATTGCGGACTCGAACACGGTACGGTACATCCAGCATTTAGCTACTGATTTCCTGGTGGAGGAAGTGTTCCAGAAGTGTTACACGGACGCCAAATTCAAAGAAGTTCAGCGCGAGTGCATGAGGATGTTGTACGTGCGACGCCTAGATGACTATGAAGTTGGTGAGAATCAAGTTGAGTTCGTTATTGAGGACCGAGTGTGGATCAAGCCAAAATATGCAAAGAAAGAATCTATGACTAAGATTCAGAGATGGTACAGGGTGTGCTACAACAGTAATACATATGAAGCTAGTTGTGACTGTAAACACTTTGAGTGCCATGGAATCATTTTTCGACATATGATCTTTGTGTATGACCATTGTGGTGTTTCCATTGTTCCTGAGAAGTATATTCTACATCGCTGGAGGAAGGATGTCCAAAGAAAACACACATGAGTGAAAGTAGCTTACCATGATCCACTTAAAACCGATGAAGCCAGGCAATATCACAAATTGATGGGGATGTATGAACCAATTTGCTCAAAGGCTTCAGCTTGTAAGGAGGGTGTTGAGGCTGTGGCAGAGTTGCTGCAATTGATGGACCTTAGAGTAGATGAAGTATTGGTAATGGTTGCCAAAAAACAGGAACAGGCAGCCAAGGATAACGACAACGCGGATGATGGCGTACATGGTGTTGTTCGGACCCCTTCTTCTGTGGCTTTGAATAAGGGGCCTGCTTGTATGACTAAATCAGTCACACATCGATCTGGGTTGTCAAATACAGTCCCTACACCAGTTAGTGCCTTTGTGGGGAGTTGTGATGGATATGTTCTGTAGTGATTAAGGATCCACCGCTGCCCAAGAAGAAGGCCCATCGTACAACAGATGTGAGGTATCCATCTTGCATAGAAAAAAAGGGAAAAGAGAAGGCTGCTAGGGCAAAAAATGCAGGAAAGAAGCAAGTTGCAGCGGCACAGAACAATATGTCATTGTCAATGAATGACTATGTACGATTGGTTGGAGGGATTCAAATGAGGGATCTAGATGGTTCCTTAGGGTACTGCACTTCCCTTAGGGGAACTAATTCTGGGGTTTTTTTTTGCAAGTGTATTAGGTACTCCTGGTACATCAGGTTCCAATCACTTGTAATTTTATTAATTCCACTGGTTTGTTATTGGTTTGATATTTGTTTGTTGTATATGTTGTTATAACATCTTGCAGTGGTACAGTTATCGTTAATGAATTGTACCATTGGTCATTTATATCCATGTGTTGTAAGTATAGGTATTTACATGAAGGTTCCTATAATGGTATACCATACAAGTGTCCCACTATAATCAGGGTGATACATTTTCAGCATATATATATAAGACAATTTGGGTACCACTTTAAGAAGGGTGGTACATATGACCGTAAAAAACGAACCACTGAAAAGGCAAAGGCATGTATCGTGTTCAGGGTGGTACTTCTTAATGTTTGAACTAGTAGCGTAGTTCACTATTAATTATTTTTGTTGTTCTGTTTATGTGTGCTAAATATTTGCATTTGCTACTACGTATACGTAAACAACGTAAAATAATATTGGTAAGTTAAATGACCAAGTAGTTCAGAACTATACAAAGTTGTATAAAATAAGGGAATACTATATTTAGCTTATTAATATACGTAAGTTTATTTAAATTGTCAACATCTCCTTCACCTATTATTATTATGAACATCTCTCCAATAAATACTAGTTGTTCAGATATGTGAAACATATTATTATGTACAAGTTAAACACAAATGTAAAAAATGATATACTGCAAGTTAAAAAAAAGAAATGTCATTAAACCAAATAGTTATCCCATATATCTTACATCCATGTAATATGGTGTAAAATACGCTTATCTCCCTAACACATTTACAAGTTAAACAAGCTATTTAATTTTCAACAGCTACGTTGTAAACACCATCCTAGGCAGATAACTGCTTTTCGTGTTGTATTTTTAGTTTGCAAAACAGTCGCGGCTGCGACATATTTTCTAAAAGATACTTGTTTCTCATCCAATTTGACGTTGCCAATTCACGTAGCTTCCTTTTGCACTGGACGATTCCTGCTGATCCGATGATGTTGATGGTGTTCTCCAAAAGCTTAACACCTTTGTCTTCATTTCCCGTAAATATATATGTGTGTCTTAATATATATGCTGCCTTTGTATTTTGCAACTCCGTTTCTTGTTCCAGACTCTTTAAACCTTCGTCTACCGCCATAGTAGAAAAGTATTGGCGCTACAATAATTAGTTAATCAGCGAATTGAAAACAGTAATTAGTTTACAGACAGAGTTATTATTGTAATTACTAAAACTCATAGACAATAAGAAAGAAGCCTCACAAATCCAAAGTGAAGAAGTGCTTCAGGATGGTCATTCTCTACGCACTCCATGAAAAATGTGTTCGCCTCTTCTTAGTGTAACCACATTCGTGTTCGAATCCATATATGACTATTACTTCTGGTATCTTCAATAACCTTCACTAGCTGCATAGGCCATATACGACTATTAGGGCCTCGAAGAACTTCCACAGGACTACAACTCCAGTTAACAAGGCAGTCCAATCCTCTTGAAGTACCTACAATATTCACAAAGTTATTTACAAACAGAAAAAAACATGCTACAAATAACACATAATATATAAGAAAAACAAACAACCTACAAGCTTATGTCTACATTCATCTTCAAACATAACAACATGACTTGGCAAGTTACTTTACATCTTTAGGATTCAGAAAGTATGTTGAATATCTTATGGTTAAGAAGCACCTGTATTTATATACAATCAAATTCCACTAACAATAACCATATACTATGTTGTCAAAGTGTCTTAATTATGTATACACATGTTTGACCCAATTTAAAACAAAATATGAATAGAATTAAAGTTTCATAATATTCCTCAATCCATTTTGACTATAACAGTTGAATCCTAATTTAATCCTCAGTCCATTATGAATTAAATAAATCTATCCTATTTTGATTGACAACAACACTTGACTAATTTTAATAGTCAAAATCGATTACAATAAATAGTCAGGTATTATTTTCAATGTAACTTATCTTGACAAGAATTGAAATCATAGCTTTTAATCTATATTAAAATTGAAAATAGGGTATTAAAACTGAAAATAAGGTATGAACTCCATAAAAAAGAAAAAAAAAATTAAACAGCTAAGAAAGAAAAAATCATTCCTAAACACCACAATTTTTAAGTTATGAACAATTTACTCCTACCTGAAATATCTTTAATTTCTACACAGAAGTCATCAAGCATAGAGTTAAATGGAATAAGTGTGATTTTATTATGGTCGTTGTAACTTGTAAGTCAAGTGTACTTTCTACTAATTACAATTTTTGGTATGGGATAATAATAATTGAATAATGTGCTAATTCAGACAACTTAAATTCAGTATAATACATTAACTTAGTTGCAAGTTCCAGATGCAATACATCTACTCGAGGGTACCACTGTATTCAGGGTTGTACAAATGACCTTATAAAAAGAACCACTTAAAAGGAAAATGCATGTTTGTCCGTCATGGTGGTACAACACCTTCAGAGGAGGGCACTATTTAATCACAATTTTGGTATCACTAATATCATTCTTATTAGGCTTCAATAATATCTTTGGTCACAAACAACTAATTACTAGAGTTGACCTCATTCCAATTCATAATCTGTCAATGAATTTGGTAATCACAACCCTTGGGAAATTTACGTTGAAAGTAGGACGCTGTAGAACATTATTGAATGACATGCTGTTGCTTCACCAGTATTTTTTTGAAAAGACGTACATGTATGAATACTGCAATTTACCTCAATAAAAAGACGTACACGTATGAATTCATGAAGTTGTAATCACAACCCCCATATGTACCTTAAGTTCGTAATCACGACCTTTTGGATATTTACCTCCTCAACTAATTCAGTTACTTTGTAATACAATATGTACCTTAAGTTACTAAGACATTTAGGGTACCACTGTAGTCAGTGTGGTACAAATGACCTTACAGAAAGAACCACTAAAAAGGAAAATGCATGTTTGTCCGTCATGGTGGTACAACACCGTCGTAGGAGGGCACTATTTAATCAGAATTTTGGTATCACTAATATCATTCTTATTAGGCTTCAATAATATCTTTGGTCACAAACAACTAATTACTAGAGTAGACCTCATTAACTAATTTGTAATCTTTTAATGATTTGTTAATCACAACCCTTGGGATATTTATGTCATTAACAAATTCAGTTACTCGTTTGAGTTATTTAGTTGTTGCTTGGTTCGTTCATGGCCTTACTTGTTATCGATTGCTAAATGATTTAGCCAATTACACCCTACAATGAACAGTGTTTTCATGTAGTCCTCCTTAAGAAATTAGACTTACCACTGACTTCGTTAACCTAATGACAATGAAATTTGTGTAAGCCTTACTACAGTGGTACTTTTTCATGTGTTGATTGTATCATTGTAGACAGAGTGGTACATTTTATGAACCAGAGGGTACCATATATAAAATGGGGCCTATGGTGGAAAACTGGCGCCTAAACTAAGGAAGTTTCCCGCTCTTTGTGGTTTCACTCCACTATATATGCTTGGGTTTGGAGTGAAAACAGTCATTTGTCCAAAAACGTGACCGTCCTTCTCAAACACTTTCTTCACAAATTACTTACAATGTCAACCATGTCCTCTGCATCGACAGGAAGTCAAACAATTTCCCGGCCGTTTGCATCTGCGGACATCTCATGGATATCAGCCAAAACTTGCAACTGCTTAGGAGATGACGCAACCCTCGTGGAATTTCGGATCTCAATGTCGGAGAAGAATTCAAAGCGACCGTACTACAAATGTTGCCACTGCGGGTACTGGGAGTGGGTTGTTCAGTTGGACCTCATCAAGGATGGTCCACCAACTGGCGGCGTTGTTCGACGGGTAGAGGTGTTAGAGCACGAACACATAAAGATCGTAAAATTTAGGCTGACTATTTCTGTAATTGCCATTTTCGTTTATTTTAAATTGTAATTGTCGTTTTCGTTCAACTGCGGTTAGTAGTAGCGTAGTTCATTACTAGTTAGCAAAACATTGTTTGCGCTTCTGTATGCTAAAATTTCCATATGAAGATCTATGTAGTTCAAATAGTTCAATTTCATGTAAAAACAACACATATTCACTAGTACCTAACACAACGGTCTGTCAACCACTACAAAATTATAGCCCACTAATAATAGGATTTAGTGTTGTGAATGTACCACCTAATATAGTTGTGGTACATTAGACGATGAGTCCTGCAAAGAACACCCAAGTAGTTTTTGATGGCAAGAAACATAACCGAGTACCATTAAACTGGCCATTGGTACATAAAACATAGTAAGACGATGAGTCCTGCAAAGAACACCCAAGTAGTTTTTGATGACAAGAAACATAA